TAATTTGATAAAGGCCTATCGAATTTGAGAATCAGATGGAAACAAAAAATACCTCTAGGTAATTGCAAGATTTCTTCTCACCTTATTTGATCGTAAATATTAATGATCTCTAAAAGTAAGACTAAATGATGATAGTTCCGACGAACTTTTTGAGAACACCAATCGAATGACAATTATAGATGACGATGATAAATCTTCAAGTGAACTTGATGAAAGTTAACATTTGTGCTGATGAAAAGATAGTATTTAATAGACCTGTGTGTTACTTTCAAATTATTCCTCGTAAAAAATAAACGATAATCTGAGGTGGATCTGTGGACGTTCACGCGTTATCCTGAGGGAAGGGCTTGTCAATAATATGAACATGCAAATAATTTCAGCCGACAATGGTTTAAAGCCGCAAGTTTCTGTAAGATATTTTCTCACTATGGATTTAAACTGTTATTAAACCAAGAAATTATTGCCCTTCCGACTCTTAATTTTAAGTCGGCTAGGTAACGAGCAAATCGCAGTCGCGAAATTTTATACCTTTTTAATACAGGATTTGCGAAAATTGTTTATCAAATTTAAGTTTTAATACTTCAAGCATTTCCATTTATATGTTTTAGATGATTATATGATTATACCATCGGAATTGTGACTTCGCCATGCTTCGCTTCATCCATAATAGAATATGAATAGGACAAGGCAGTGTACTTCACATTTTTATTATGCCTTGCAACAATTTTTGCATAAGATTCTATCCAATTAAGGGTATATGAAATAAATTTCGTGGCTATATAATAAATAATTTTTGTGGCTATATGAAAAACAAATGTTGTGGCTATATGAAAAACAAATGTTTGTGGCTATATGAAAAACAAATGTTGTGGCTATATGAAAAACAAATGTTTGTGGCTATATGAAAAACAAATGTTTGTGGCTATATGAAAAAAAAACAAATGTTTGTGGCTATATGAAAAAAAAAAACAAATGTTTGTGGCTATATGAAAAAAAACCTTGTGGACACAAATTAGCTTCACGCAAATTAAGACAGAGATCACATGATTATTTATCCCTGGAGGCTTTGTAAAATCAATCTTTGCGTAAACTCAGTAGGAAAACGCTTGTAGTAGTAGTATGG